TATATACATACATATATATATAAATTGAATTTTGGGAAACTTTAACGGTGCTGCCAACTTTGGAAAAAGTCATCCCAATTTACTGTGTTGACTTGGCATTGTACAGAAACGGACAACCATATTGGTCTAGAAATGTTAATTTATTTTTATTTTTTATTTTTATTTTTTCCCTATGTACAGGGGTAACATATCATACTAAATATGTAAGGTCATATCTGCATGGATTTGATTACAGAAACTAATGAAGTATTCTCTAAATAATAAAAAAAATGGTCTTATTACATTAGGGACAGGGGTACAGATATATCAAGTGATACTAACAAGTCTAAATATCTCTTAATATTCCAGCAAAAATTTAGAAAATCAACATGAAGTAATAAACATAATTTGAAATCAAATGAAGCTTTAGCTCATTACTTTAATTTACATGTCTTATTTAATACCCACAAAGGAAATAAAAACTTTTGATGCTATTAATTTTAGTACAATAACTTTTTTGGCAAAAAATTCTTTGACTTTGATTGCAGTTGGACAAATTTGAAGTTATATAATTAGGAGAGATTTTTAATTGTTTTGTGGTGTAGCCAAGTTTGATTCTGACTTTTAAAAAATCTGCTTTTGGAAAATATACAGAAGGTATCCACTTGAATTAATGAGGAATTTAAAACTTTAATGTGTCATGAATACACAATGAGAATTCATAGGAGTAAATTATAAAACACATTCTTATAAGTAGGATAATTACAACTGAGTTTATAATTATCTAGCATGGTAATTATCTTAAAGAATCAACTTTTGAAATAAACAACATGGAAAAATGGCCTGTGTGATGTAAAAATAAACTAGTTAAGTAAAGTGCATGTGCTCTGTATTTGCTGTAGGCAGCCTGGGGAGGCGGACTGCTGCTATCCAGGGAACATTCCTATAAACTCAATGGCATTGAGAGGTGAGGCTGCGTTGCTGATGACAGCAAGGGAACATATCTTATTTAGGCTTCTGTTCTCTTCTGCTGGACAGTGAGTGCTGACTGGAGCTGTTTTATTACTTAGGGCCAACTCCGTGACCTGGAATCCGCACAAACTTATGGGCGTTCCTCTTCAATGCTCTGCTATCCTGATCCGAGAAAGAGTAAATGATTTCTGTTTTTAATTCATGACTTGAGGGATGTTTTAGTAATAATTATCATCATTGTGGATGTTATAAACCAACATAGTCACGGCTTCCTTGTACTGTATATAGGGCAGCACAGTTTACCCTGCCAAAGAAAACGGTTCCTCTTCCCTTGGTCTTCAAGTACAGTGGTACCTAAGTTCATGAACATTTTTAACAGAAATGTTTGGCAAATTTTGTCTTGTTTGGGGACTCTGGTTCCATCTGTATTAAATCCATTCATCCACACCCACAACTATGCTAATTATGACTAGTGAATAATTTAGTACCACATACCCTTAATTCCAGTGTCACATACCCTAGATCCAGCCAGCTCTGAAAAGCCCCACTTCTGAGTGCATGAGGCTTTGGAGGGACATCTAGACACAAACCAAAACAATGACCAAATGAAATATTTCTTGGGGGCCAATGGGTCTGAATTTGTAACCTCAGAGTGTAGGGTCAAAATAGGATTCATTTTTACTGTAACAGCAATGGATTTTTTGGTATACAAAGAACACATTTATGAGTTATATTAAATTATTTTCTGCTTAATATACTTGTATTTTATCTTCATGAATAGTGTATGTGAGGTTTTATGAGAGTTAAACTAGTGTTCTCCCCCAAGGAGAAATATAATTATAAAGTTCAACTTGAGTGTTCTTATCTCTATTTTGCAGTCAGAACAGCAAATCCTTGTTGGCATTATACCTCTGGGAGCATTGTTTTATTTTTCTTTTATTCACAAGCAATTCAAAGGATTTGGAAATAAATATAAAATGCCTGTGTTTCTATTATAATTGCCTTAATTAGTACTCTCAGCTGACTCTTTGAGTACTTAGTTTTCACCTCCTGTCTGGTTATGAGAGAATTCCAATTGTGTCTCATCCTAGCCCTTACCTGGCTCCTCAGGCTGTAACTATCATCTCTGCTGTAGCTTCTACTCAGTCGGACACATGGCAGTGATATCCCTTTTGTAAGGCAGCTGTCTTTTGTTCAGGGGCTGCAAGTTAACAGTCTAATCCTTTCCTACCTCCAATGTGTGTCCAGTATCTAGAAATTATATCTTAGCCATTTTTTTCTTTGAGGAGCTTTTGGGTTTGCTCTCACTCCTTCCAAACCGATTTGTTTTCAACTTTCCAGATACCTTTGTGTCTAGGGTTCAAATACATATTTTTTTTCAGTCTTCTCAGATTTTTTAAGTCCATAATAAGCACACCGAAGCTATACGTTTTATTTACTCTAACATCTGCATATTAAATATGTTTTCTTTTTTAGGGTCTTCTGGAAGCATGCAACCAGATGCAAGCTGGATATCTTTTCCAGCCAGATAAACTCTACAATGTTGACTTTGACACCGGGGATAAAGCTATTCAGTGTGGTCGACATGTTGATATCTTCAAGCTATGGCTGATGTGGAAAGCGAAGGTTGAGATTTGCCATTTTTTACTCATTCTGTCTTGCTTGGAATAGAAAGGAATGCAGCGAAGATTTACATCTTGGAAAAGAAGTACCAAAAATGTCAGTTTCTGGGTTACAATGAGATGATTTTAAAAAAGAATGCATTTAACTAATGTGAGGATTTTTAGTATGAATTAGAGATCCTGACATTTTAGATTATATGCCAGTGGAGAACATGTGGATATTATGGGTGTTCCTAAGACCAGAAACTCTAAAAATTGTTAAGAGCCAGAAAGACAAGTATATGGAATGTGTAGGTTCTAAGAAAAGAATGAATAATCAAACTAGCATATTGAGCCAATCTGATTAATTCACATTTAAATTAGAGTAAAATAATGCTTCAGCCATATTAATAAAGTATTACAACTCCTTACAAAATGTTGTTAAGTGCTGTTTAGCCAAGCAGCTGACTGGGTAGTGGGAATGCAGTTAACCAAAAATGATAAATTTTCTTCTCTAATGCAAGTTAAAAAGTGCCATAGAAAATAACCTGTATAAGTTTGTAGTAGCTGGTAGTGCTATGAAGAAAACTAAAGAAATTTGGAGGTACTGAAGGATAAAGCTCAGACATTATATAAAGTACTAGGTGAAGACCTCTCTATTGAGATGATATATAAGGAAATAAATAAACAAAAGAACAAGCTATAATACCTGCAGGAAGTGCTTTCTGGAAGATAGAGGTGTGATCACAAAAGCCTGGATGTAGTACATGTCTTAGTGAATTAAAGGCATAGAGAAAATAGATCCTTTAGCTGGTGAGCAGTGGGTTATGGCACACAGTTGGAGAAGAAGTTAGAGAGACAGTCCAAAATTATGCGATCCAGACGTTGCCACGCAAGGTAAGGCAAACATTTTGGATGTTGTTCCAGTTGTTATGACAAATCTCCAGAGCAGAGCCAAAGATGAAGGACACTACAACACTGAGAACCTTATTTAGGTAATTGAGAGTAGAATTGACTCATTCTGAGATTGGGAAGACCCTGGGAAGAGGAAGGTGTGTATAGAAGCACCCAGTGTTTAGTTCTGGACATGTCATACTCAGGTGTTTATTAGTCAAAGAGGAGTTTTGAATAGGCTATATTAATGTTTATATGAATCTGAGGTACAGAAATGAGTCTGAGCTAAAGATACCAGGGAGAGGGTGATGAGCCTATGTAGAGCTCAAAGAACCCTGCGACAAGCTGATGTCACCAAGCAAGTTAAAGTGAATGGAGATCCTGGTTAACTTCTTCTGTACCTTGATTTTCTGCTCTACAGCGTCCCATTAAGAGCAAGTGAGATTAACTGTGCGAAACACTGAACTAGATGACTGGTATAGAGCAGAAGCTTGACATATATTAGACTTTAAATATAGTATGTTGACAAGTGTGTCCAGGGTTTTGTCACAGTTCTCCTACTCCTCACATCATTATATATAATTTTAAAAATTGTTTCACATTACTGGAAAGATTGAAAATTCATTAAAAAATTCAGCAAGTATTTGTAGATTCAGGCAACTAAAGCTTAGAAAACCTTAGTACCTTGACTTATCAAATTCCACAGGGAGTAGGGAGTAAATTCAAGATAGAAATACAAATTTGTGACAATATCTATTTCTAGTGACATAATAATTAATCACACATTTATTTAAATGAGTATTTTAAAGCAAACTATGTCTAGAAACTTCTCTGATTTAAAATAACTCATTTGGATTAAACTTTGATTTTATTTGTTTTAAATGACAGGGAACCTGTGGCTTTGAGGTACAGATCAACAGATATATGGAACTTGCAAATTACTTGTATAAGATTTTAAAGAAAAAAGATAATTTTAAGCTCGTGCTTGATTCTGAGGTAATATATCTTTTAGGGGTTTTTAAAAGATGTTTAATGGAGCTTAACTTCTTTGGTGACTATTCCTACTTAAATCCATTTCCTATCTTTTGCAGGAATCCTCAAAGGTATTACAAACATTTCATTTTACTTCAGTTCAAGTCAGGTTTTATAACCTTCTCACTTATGTTTCATCAAAGCTTTCCAGCTACAGGTCCAAAAGACTTGCATTGATGATTATATTCAATTATAAAATTTTTAACCCAAAACTGATTTTTTACTGCTTTCTTGATTTTTCTGGCACTAAGTAAAGGATAATTAAATATTTCTGAGCTTTTTTTTGTAGTACATGAGAATGTGTAGTTGGATTTCTGAAAGGTAAATGATAAAGAAGCTAGGCTTTAAATTATATGACATTTGTCTTATTAAGGCAGTAAATAGATATTAATGACAAACATGAGATTTTTGCTAACATTATATTCTTCTCTCTCTTCAAAGGTCTAATTAGCCTTGCATTGACATATATTAATTTATACTATAAGAATAACTAGTAGGAAACAAACGTACTTTATTAGTCTTCTCACTATATCCTTGACTATATTATTATCTTCATTTTTGTGCATCACCCCTCACTTTTTAGGTGGGAACTAGAAGTAAAGTAGTTTGTATTTGTTTTTAATACCACATATTATCTGATTATCTATTTTTCTCTCAGAATAAGTTTTGATAGTTAATTTTTCTTTGGCTCTTTATTTACTCACCCAAGCCCAAAACCCTGAATTCATCTTGAAAGCCTAGCATCTCCTGAAGGTTTTGGACGTTCGAACATTCCCATCTATACTGACAGCTATTGCTTTAGTGGAGTCTCTTACTCCCCTCACCACACCCTGAATAATGTTCTATTTACATCTCTTCAATCACATGCTCCTCTAATCCACTATCCAAACTAAATTTTCTCATATAAAAAATTTGCAGTTCATTATTTGTAGAAAACCTATGAAATAATTGTTATGGGATAGATAGAGATACTTAACGGACTTGCTAGACAAGAGTACAGGGAAGAAGATCTGCATAGGCAGGAAATTCACCTATAGCTGTGTTAGGAGAGGTTATTTAGAGAAAAACAAGAGCCTGTGCCTGTCCAGTTACTCTGAGGACAGTGTTTATTGCTTTTATCTCTGTGTCAAATAGCTGGCATGTATTAAGTGCTCAAAAGCTATTTTATGTAAATTAAATATTAAATTAATTAAATTGCTTCTGAAAAATTAAGTCATTAAAGAATTAGATGAGAGTCCAAGGATAAATGGAAAATTTCTATCTTTGCCTTAGCCTGAGCTCACCAATGTCTGCTTCTGGTATTTTCCTTCAAGACTTAAACATCTCCCAAAAGGTTGTGAAAGAGATCAAGAACTCCATAAGGTAAGTGGACTATATTTTATTTTTACTTTTGTAGCATTTTAATTTTAGCATTATTTTTAAAACAATGTGTCTACTTTGTTTGATTGACTAGTAGATGGTGGCTATGTGGTCCCAAGTCACAGGTTTAATAAATGTCAGACTGAAATTCCAACTCTTCAGTCATTTTGCAGATCAATCCAGGCATCATTTATATATTCAAAAGCTTTGGGTGTCTAAAATGCAATCAACTGTTTCATTTCCTTTAGTTAACTCATTCATTAATTAATCTTTGATGAGTGTTCCAGTGGGGCTCTGAGATGTATCTGAGTGAGAGAGTGAGAAATAATTCCTGCCCTAAGGTAGCTGGAAGTCTCAGTGGGTGAGAAGAGAATATAAATAACCACAATTCCTTAGAAAAAATTAACAAATTTGGAATACTTAGCATAAGATCACCTGCACAAGAATCTGAGTTATTTTATTAGAAATATATAAAAGTACAAAAAAACTTCAAGTGTCATAACAATTGGGATACTTCATCTTTATCTTAATAATTTAGGAAAACACCACCATTATTATATATTATCTATCCATATGTTTATTGTAGGCTTTTGCCTGTCTTAAGCCTACCTCACATTTATTCTTTTTATCACATATGTTGCCACTGTTTTTCAAGCTATACTGCTTTTACAACAACTTAGTTTAGGTAATTTGGGGTGCCCTAAGATAAGTGGAACACATATATGTGATATTAATATTTAAGGGCATGAACTTTTTATATCATCAGAGTTTCACTGGGCATGTAAGTCAGAAAAGAGAAGTTTTTACTTTGTTTTTCACAGTGCTCTTTATTTTATGAGTTGAGGCTCTTAATTTTTTAGAAAACATGTGAATGCCACTGTCCACTAGAATAATTACCACCTCCTGAGGGTTACTGAGAAGCATATTTATAATGACTTAGCAAGGGATTCTCAAAGTATACACAACCACTTACCCAAAGAGCTGTCCCTTTAGGGCTCTATACATGGTCCTGGACAGTGAGTAAGGTAAGACAATGAACAATTTCTAAATTATCTTGGATAGTAACTAAAATCAAGTTACATGTATCTCTCTGTATATTTGGTTCTGCCCTGCCATTAAAGTTATGTGAAAATATTTAACAGATGGTATTTATAGCATTTTAGAGATAAATTGTGTGTAGGTGATGATAGAAAATAAGATCACGTTGAATATGTATAGAGGCCTTTCCTCTCCCCCATATTTCCAAGTGTTAGTGTCACTTTGGCATAATCCCAGCCCAAAGATGTACTATGTACCAAGGCCACACAAGCGCTGTCATTTTAGGAGCTAAACAAGACAATGAGAGCTTATCTCTGTGAAATTTAGGAAAAAGCTGTTTTGCTGCAAAGCAATGACCTTGTAGAAAAACTCAAGATATAAAAGTGACTCAAATAATACAAATCATAATACAAAAACACACTATTTTTCTCCACCCTCTATTTCATTTTAGCTCTTCTTCAGTTTCTATTTGACTTACCAAGTAAATATAAGAAAGTGACACATACTTTTCTCTAATGAATTCTGACACGTGTATTGTGCTATATGTTTGGTAACTTTGAATCACACAGTTACAAGAGCCACAGTTTGAATATAGAACATGTTGCTCTTTCTTGTCCTAAACTGCTTCATGAAAATTACCCCTGACAGCTTCAAATTGTTCACAGTTTACTTGAAGCTAATGATAGTTATGTACTTGAAACAATTTCTTTTTAATAATATTTTCATTTACACACAGATTGCTCCCAAGATTAAAGCACAGATGACAGAAGAAGGCACGGCCATGATAAGCTACCAGCCGTGTGGAGACAATGTAAATTTTTTTCGAATGGTCTTTTCCAATCCTGCAACAAGACAAACAGATATTGACTATCTTATTGATGAAATAGAAAGACTTGGGAAGGATTTATAATACCTCAATGTGAACTTGCCTATCACATGTAAATACCAACTCTAAATATTGTATTGCTAAAGATAAGAATATTAACACGGATGTTCTCTCTTTTATAACTTTTGATTCTCGTTTGGCCTATGAAATGTCAGAGGATGAAAAAAGGATTAAATTAACTGAAAAAATATATACAGTAAATCCACAATTTAGGAACATTCGAGTTGTGAACTTTCACAGGTACAAATGGACCTCGCATTACAAACATCCATATGCAGACTTGAACAGATTGTGGATGGAGTGGAAGGAGCTGATCTGTCTGCTGGACACTGTCACAGTTGTGCTTTATGCTTACTGCACAATGTAATAGTGCACAGCAGTATAGAAAAATCAGGGATTCACTGTACTTCTGTATGTGTGTTTGGTTTTATTATGCTTTACAGTGTATATTTGTTTCAAAAGTGTGTAATACTCATTTTGCCAGACTTTACACAAGTGAGGGAGTATTCTCCTGGAAAGGAACTTGCTAGTAAGTAAGCATTTACTATGTGTTTGTTCATATACTTGGATTTTTTGCATATACTTGTTATTTTCATTAATTCAGTAAATATTACTGAGTATCTATCAAGTGTCAGGTTCTTTTCTCAGTGATCTTAGAATATATCAGTAGCTACAAAAGGCACCCTCCTTTTATAAAAAGATGCTTTCCATAATGGACATTCAACAGCTTAGTACACACACACACACACACACACACACACACACACACGTATGCTTGACTATAAAGACATACAAAGATTTAATAGATTGAAATGATTTTCAGTATGGTGTTATTCCACTTCTCCCCAAAATAAAATAAGACAAGAGATATTTCTCTTTTTTTGATATGTTTTTCTTTTTTCAAAGAAATACTATACATAAAATGTGTATTGTGGAGTAGAGTGATGGAAAAGAATAACATAGAATGATGTAGTCAATTTTATCCTTGCATTTTTATTTAGAAATGACTTTAACTTGTACAAGACTTCTGATTGAACTCATTTTTTCCTGCAATACCATGTTGTGCACCTAAAGACAAATAACAGTGCCATCCATTTATAATTTGACAAAAATATTCATTTGTATTTCACAAAATGGAACCAGGAAGCTCCATTTCAAATATACAGTTAAAAGGTTTCAATTCAATCTTTTGAGATAACAAAAGTTAATATTAATTGAACACTTACTGTGTTTCAGATAATAAGCTAATTATCTTACCTTACATGGTCTCGTTTAATTTTCTATTAATGTTGTGATTCATTAACTCCTTTTCATGAATTAGAAGACTAAGGTTGCAGAAGTTTGAATAATGTATCTAATATCACATTGTAGATCAATAATAAATTAGTCAGGTTTCTTTTTTAAGTATCTTCAAAGAGCCACTGTAAATTCATTTTTCTAAGCTATGTTTATCCATTTATGTTAAATGTGTGTGTGTGAAATTTTTAAATTTTAGGAATAAAACATGGATTAGAATTTAGATTCCTTTCATTTATTCTAGCCAATAAATAAGGCATTTCATATTCAAGCTTTTCTAAAGGAAAAATAAAATTATTTATGGTCAATGTTTTAATCTGTATCTTTGTGAAGTATATGGAATAGCAGTTAAATTATCTAAATACAATTTATTCTTGATAGGAATTGTTATTCTAGACAGGACTGTTTGTTCCAGATGTGATTTAGTTTGTCAGACTTAGCAACATAAATCAGTTTCTTCCCTATGCATTATGCATGACAGCCTATCATTACACAAACTTTATCAAACACAAACTAAACATTCAAAAATCACATCTCAACTTTCTTTATTTCTGTATTCACCACGTTAGATACAAATTTTATTTCTTAATAAACATTTTCATATAAGAAAATACTAAATCAAAACATTTTTTAGTATAACGTTTCTGTTATGCTGTTTATAGAAACTAATTAAAACAGTGCTTCTTTCCTACCCTCAGTGTTATAAATTAAGCAAATAGATTTCATAGTTTTTATAAATCTATAATGTGATTTATCATTAGTCTTATTAATAATAAGGAATCTGATAAGAATTTTTCTGTATGTTATTTTGAGTTATGTAGTATTTTCAATTATTTGGATATGTATTTTATATTTTGCTGAAGATTTGTGACATTTAAAAAAAGATAATATTTATTAACAGGCATCTATTTCCTCCCTGCTTTATTTGAGTGTTTTAAAAAAGTATTTTGTGATCAGTTAGCATCATTTTAGCCATGAAATAAAATCATTATTCAAATGACTATGTTTTCTCCATCAAGGATACAGCTTTTGCCTTGTATTGTATGAGATAAGGTATGAGATAATCCTCTATGATTTATAGACATTCTGTTTTAAAAAAATATTCCTTTTTACTGTTTAACATAAGTCTTTCAAAGGGATATTTTCATTTTTCAACTTTCCTAAACACATTGCAAGGTGTTTTTTTTATTGTTTTATTTTACATTGTGTTTTTGAAACAAGGTCTCACTATCAGTTAAAAACATAGTGCAAATCCAGGCATGGTAGTGCACAAAGTTAATCTTAGCACATGGAGGGTGAAGCAGGAGAATCACTGGGAGTTCAAAGCCTGCATAGGTTACATAGTGAATTCAAGGCCAACCTGAAGTATACACTGAGACTTTGTCTTAAAAAAAAAAAAAAAAAAAAAAAAAAAAAAAAAAA